AAAAAGTCAAAAATGTTTGCTAAGAAATTTTATTAAAAGTTACATGATTTTTATAAAAAGTCGACTTTTTGTACTGTTTGGACTAGCAATCATTTCGTAAGTTTTTTAGTTTATTGTCATAGATTACGTTAATGCAGTACCGTATTTCTGAACCAATTTGTGAAGCCTGTTGAGAATTGTAATTTTCAATCCTTTTCCATCAATTTTAGAAAAGTACTTATCAAATGACGATTAAAAGAAAGAAAATTGGATCGTTTTGCTAAATTTTCCGCCTTAATAATAATATAACTGTAAGCCAAAAGTCACTTCAACTTTTTTTAGTTTATTGTGTTAGATTACGTCAATGCAGTACCGTATTTCTGAACAAATTTGTGAAGCCTGTTGAGAATTGTAATTTTCAATCCTTTTCCATCAATTTTAGAAAAGTACGTATCAAATGACGATTAAAAGAAAAAAATTGGATCTTTTTGCTAAATTTTCCGCATTGATAATAATATAACTGTAAACCAAAAGTTACTTTAAAACATAAGTGAAAACAATAGAATATTCAGTTATCTGCTTCAGAAGTTTCCTGTTAGAAAAAGAGATTTTTTGATGCTAAACTTGCTTTGAATTAGAGAACGTTCATTCAAATGATTCATTTTTTCATCTATAATTCATATTTTTAGCTAATTGATATTCATATCGTATTGCAAAACACTCAAATTGAGATATGGTATATGGTAGAATAAACTTAAAACAAAAATATGTTAATTTTGAGATTACAGAAAATTCGTTTCAATTATTTGTGAGTTTTGAGAAAAATGGGCCTTGTCTTCAGGTTATGAATCATAGTCTAAGAAAGAATCGAAAGTCAAAACTCTCAAGTATAGACATCGTACAATTTTTATCGGGTTTTTGTTTCTGTCGTTTTGTTCTATGAGTTTGGAGAAGTTATGGAAAGCTTAGGGTTTTCAAACAGACTTCCTTTAAAATTAATTTGGAGATGAAAGTGATCGGTTAATTGATACAATTTTTCCATTAAATTTTTTTAGTAATTTATTTATGCAAAAAATTTTCGGCTGGAGGAAAGTAGATAATGCAGTAACCAAAAATCTGCGTTCAAAGTAAATATATATATTTGAATTGTCAAAGAAAAATTAACACAAAGCTCTGCTGTGGAAATAGTTTTCAGAAACAACAGGGCACTTTGAGGTTAAGGTTAGAGCAAGAACATACAATTATCTGGATCAGAAGTTTCCTTTCTGAAGCTTCTTAGCAAATAGGGTTTTTGGTGCAAACTTCGCATCGAAATCTTAAACGATCTTTGAAATGATAGAAAATTCAAATTTCGATTAGTTTTTTGTTCAAAATGGATTCAATTGGAAAACGGTAGATCACGCAGAGACCCAGAAAGTCCTAAGTTAAAGATTTTTACAACAAAAAA